TCTCACAAAGCTAAAGCATATTTGCATAATCTGTTTGCTTTCGTTATTGCAATTAGTGTTCTTAACTTAGGATTTATGTCCCCCAATGTCCGGCACCTACTCAGGTCCCTGACGTTAGGTACAACAATAACAATACAAGCAACAAATTTTGTTATACATGTTATTCTACCTATTACAGGACATTCAACTGGGACATCCACCAGAACACTTTGGGCATCGTCTCTCTGTACAGTTGTGTTCGATATCGATACCATGATGGCTCATAAGCCGCATCCCAATAAATTTTCAGTTTTCTCAGTGAATGTATTAAAATAATTTTTTGCAAAACGCACATTTTGAACCATCTGGCGAGCAAACACGAAGTGTATTAATGTAGTAGGTTTTAGCTTTGATGGCAGGATGTTACCCGTTTTTCTTGCGCATAAATATTTTGCAAAGAAACTAGTGTATTAAATTAGACATTTGATGCTCTTTGTGAGGGTTGGTTCAGAAACTCTGCGCTTTTGCTCTCGCAAAGAAACAGAAAGTTTCTGTACAAATATTCGTGGTCTACAGAACTTCATCTGTCCTGGCTTCGTAATGAGCTTTTTTTAAAAAGAGGAATTAAGAACGAATAGCAAAATTTTGAAAGGAGGAACGCCACTAAAAAGGGGGACATAAATCCTAAGTTAAGAACACTAATTGCAAAAACGAAAGCAAACAGATTATGCAAATATGCTTTAGCTTTGTGAGAAGAAAATAGTTGTGTATCAATGTTAACGGACTTTTTTTATGTGGTCTTCTTTTCTTGAGTGATTTCTACTCTCATATCTTTGAAAAATTTTGTTTCACAAAATTAAGAGAAAGAAAAAAAAAATCAAACACGTGCTAGAGAGAATGAATAGAATCTTCTGAATTCGAAATGTGCAAGATATTTATAGAGTCACATGGGGTAATTCTGATAATCGCCTAAAAATCTAAAACTCTTCAGATATTTTGAGCATATTTAAGTCAATTCAAATTAGTAGAATCATTAAGCTACAGCCTAAATTAGCGATTAGCTCATCGATATTTGAAACTTTTCATGTACACTATAAAATCCTCTTCCTATTGAGAGAGGGCAAACAAAAAAACATCATATCTAACGTTAATTATTTTACTTAGCAGAGAATTGATGACAGCCTGAAAACTCTAATTTTCGTAAAACTCGCTTTTCGGTAGATTTTTAAAAGTTTTCTAACAGCAAATATCGCCACGAGACTCAGCATAAGATTCTGAACAACTTTGTCATTTAGTATAGCATCGAAATTGGGTTCTGAGAGACAGTGAAGATTTTTTCCTATCTATCCGTGTAATTCATACCGGATTATCATAATTACCCCATGAAAAATAGCTGTATTATCATCATTACCCCAAAGAAGACAAATGAAAAAAACGACTGTCTTTTACTTTTCGTAGTTTTTATTTAACTGATTTAGATTAAGTCCAAATGACTGACAATTCATATGGGAGATAGAGCAGAACAGTCTCTACAAGATGGTGTACTTTTTAGTCAGTTTACTCTAAGTTTCCTGTTGAAACTAAATGGTTTAAATTCATTCCAGCTATTTTGGCCATAGTGATCATTATTACCCCATGAAAAATAGCTGTGTTATCACAGTTACCCCAAATGGGGGAATTATGATAATTCTAAACCTATTCACTAGAAATTGATTAGACCTTATTACTGTTAACGAATTTTAGGAAAATTTTTACATCAGTAGATAGCTAAGAGTCGACTCTATCTACTTGCATAATACTGATGTTCTCCGGTGAAAGATGACTTAAGTATGCTCAAAATATCTGAAGAGTTTTAGGCGATTATCAGAATTACCCATGTGACGCTAGTGCAATAAAGATCGAAGTCACATTTTAACTATTACTATAAGAACAGACGGTACTATATTTGTCGCAAATATAAGAATCAATGTATGATAACTAAGGCCTTAAGAAGGCTCTTTGATCAAACGCTATTGAAAAACTAGTCAGCTTTGTCCAAAAAGGAGGAAAAGAAGGAGAAAATGGGTAAAAGGCGGAGAAAATTTTATTTCGAAGGAAGGAAAAGGAGGACGAGTACGATGCCAGCATCTGTCTCGAGGGCGTAAATTTCGTCTACAAGATTGATCCTACATATTATTTTTCGTCTATACGACTAACCTTCCGTCGGTTACGTAAATTTATCTGTCTTTTCGTACGCCTTTTGCGTCTCTACGCTATTTCACTTTTGAAGTGAAGTCGGCATCGTCTTGACGCTCATCTTTTCCGACGCAAAATTGTTACGCCAAAATAAATTTGTCTTACACGACCGTCGAAACAGATAATTAGTCGTCCTCTACAAATTTTTATACTGTCGAGAAACAGCACAAGAACCCGTCTCTGACGGGATTTTGTACTGTCTGGACGGAAAAAAAAGTTTATCAGATCCATGCGCTCGCTAGAATTTCTGGTGATCGACAAAAACATTTCTTGTTTATTTTGTCCCTTACCAACAAATTGTAGCAACTTGAACTGAATCAGGTTTTGGGACAAAAGACAAATAATTTAGTGGTGCAGAGAAATGCTGCAAAAGCAAGGTACGTAAGTATAATTGGATGACTATGCGTTATTATATCGATGGACATCAACAACATAATGACTTTTTGTGGTATATTGGCGTTGTGTTGATTGTTGTCGTCGTTGTTCTTATGAGCTGTGAAATATGCACCGAAATCTTGAAATGAATGAAACGTAGTAGTTTCCTCATCACTCGATGAATCGCTATCGCCAATGATATCACCAGGATGGTTGCTATAATAAAGGAAAGATGTCTGCTATGTCTTATCGTTAAGTGGATGATCCTAGAGCACGAGTGTGAAATTAAAATGAAGTAAGAAAACTTTATACTTACTTAACATAATCTTATAAAACATCTTTGACATGTTCTGCTTCTTTAATTTTTGGATGTGACGGTGGTAAAACTAATTTTAGAATTTCTATAGTCTTATCATATATTTCAAACATTGTATCGAATTACTTCTGACCGCGGTATACGCCAGTAATGTTTTCATAAGTTGAAGCAATATCAGGATCAATAATCGGTTGGTATTTCTATTTAATATCAAGAATGTTCTGATAATATTTCAGTGCTTCGTTAGACTTACGCATCGATTGGTATGCACCTGCTATAGATTCTAATATTGATACTAAATAAGGACAATATGATGGAAAATTGTTTTCGATTACGATTAATGCGTGTAAGAAATAATTGAGTGCTTCATCTTTGAATGCTTTCTTTTTCTTTGCTTGGTAAACTTTACCAGTAACTTCATAACATCGAGCTATCTCATCATGGATTTGCAGTTCTTTAAATGTCTTAAGTGTTTTAAAATAGTATTCTAAAGCCAAATCATTTTCTGGACATAATTGCACACGATATATTGATCCAATATTGAACCATGCATCAGCAATTTTCTCTTTTGCATTCTTAACCAGTTCTTGAATTGTCAATGCTTTAAATTGACAATCAAGTGCATCAGATTTGGAATGCACATTCAGATAGGCCAGTCCCATTTCTTTGTAACTTCGAATCAAATTTAGCAGATAATTTTTAGATTGTTCAGCAGACAAACAACAATAAGCTAAAGCTATATCGTAATCGCCGCGTTTCTCTGCCACTCCCTTTAAACATAAGTAACAGTCAATTTTATAGTCTGATGTAGGATTTGTAATTAATAAATCGTCTAATAGACGTTGGTAATATTTTTCAGCTTTATTATACAAATTCATACGAAGAAGTAAAGTATCAAATGATAAGGGTGTTCGGGCTTTTGCTACTTCTTGTTTTTCCCATTGATAGAGTTCATTAAATTCATAAATCTTCTCATCACATAAATTCAACTCAACTATCCATAAACTGATTGTATCATCGAAATATACACTACTAATTTTAAATATCGATCCGGCCATAACAAGAACTTCATTTTCTTTCGAATATTCACTTATCTTCGATATATTAGCAAACGAGTTAACATTGATAAGATTTTATCTCTTGTAAAATATGAAACCGGATATGAATTCTGGCGGTCCTCACTTTCGGCAAAACCTCTCGCTGTATCTAAATCGAACGTGATCGAAAGGAAACTGTTGATATATATTGCTTCTCCAATATTTTCTTTCATTAAGTTCAGTTCCTTGTCAGATATAGTTTGACCGCGATATAAGATACGATCAAAGTCACGTTCGGCTTTATCATATTCAGCTTTTAGCTGATTGTAAAGATCTTTTATGTAAAATCTTAATGAAAATAATGTATCAATATCATGTGTACGCAATGCTTTATTAACTACATTATAAAAGAAATTTTGTCTACTGCACCATTGTAAAACATTTTCTGATCGATACGTATTTTCAAATTTTATATATTTTCTTCTTGTTGAACATTAGCATTAAAATATTGTTTATACATTTCAATCAAGTTCTATTTTGCTTTAGCCTGATTGTAGACGACATCGATCAGGTCTTCAATAACAAACTGAAACCATAAAAACTCACTACTCAATTTCAGATGAGTTGATTGTTTGAAAATATTTATTCTAATGGATTTAATTGAATATTATATCATTTTTAATATTATTAATTGCTTCATCGAAATTTCTACTAGATTCTTCATCTGTGATGTTGTGAGGATATATTCGAGCTTTTTCCGAATGATAATCAGGAACGTTTGAAATGGCATAAATTTTATCATCTTCCTCAACACTCTCAATGTATTTGTGACATAGGTCAACATCATTAAATAATTTAGCATAGTTAATTATTTTTCGAAGTTCTGTAATTTTTGTTTCATCTGGAGCCGATATGGCTGAGTGGTTATGTTGTTCGGCACGTACTTCACAGGTACCATGTTAGAACCTCGGCGCCACCCATTCATAGAATAACCTTGGACAAGTTACTAACGACTATTGCCTCGGATCACCCGTCCGATAGCATGTTCACTACGTTGTGACATACACCGGTACTTCGGTGCTAGTATGTGGTTAGTGAGTGTGTATGGGGGGGGGGAGGGTTACTCTCAGTTCGTCCCAGATTAACTTCTCAATTCGTTCCACGAAGTTTTTTTTAAATGTAAATTCTTTTCTTTTTTTCACTCATAGTTCGAAATGATTTCCTAAAAAGGAAGCATTTCAGATTTCTTTTTATACTACAAATAAGAGAAAAGACAATATGAACTACTTACTGCTTGACTTCTCTTATTTTCTCCTTACTGAATTAAAGAAATCCACCGTAATGGATATCAGAGTAAAATCGTCAATTTCAGACACTATGTCTTGCTTTTCCTTGACATCCTTTAGGAATGAATGGCCTTCTATATTGTGTAACACACAATGATGTTATTGGACTCGATCTCGATTCCATAAGATCAACAAGTGATATTTTAACTACCGTATCTCAATCAAATGAATGCTTGAATTAACGAACAATTAACTATTAGTTTTCTGTTTCTTCAATGCTCTTTTTGTTGTAAAGTCAATCCGTTGGTGGATCTACTAGAAACGACGCACTGATTAATATTTGCTCCTTTGATTTGACATGCGCATTTGAATCCGCGAAGTCAAAAACCTCCTTATGCCATATTTTAGTGTCTGATGTTGAGTTGATGAAAAGTCAACTGGTTTTGAGTTTTAAGTACTTGTCGACTTCCATTAAACAACCATGAAAAACTGCTTCTGAAAAGTTGAGCTGCGTATCCCGACAGCAGAACAACGAAATCTTTTCATGCAATATACTCGGAAATAAAAGTTTAAAGAAAATAAATGGTTTAGCGAGTTTTTTTCTTGTTCTTTTAAAAATATAGGTAGAATCCGAGGCTTCATGACTGAGACCACTTTTTTTTGATGATTATTAATTAGATTTAGAAAGTGGTCTCAATTTGGAAATGAAAATTTTATAGTAGAAAAAGCTTCATGAAGTAGCCGTACAATCTTACGTCAATAAGAAAGAATAGAAAATATTTTTTATTTTTGCTTAAGTCAATTGTAGGAGAAAAGAGTATCCACAGTTGTTGTCGTTATTACGACATTTCATCATCACTTTTTGTTTTCATTTTTAAGTTGAAAACAAAGATTTTTTTGACGATTGATGATTGACAAATAGAATATAGTTTACCAGCCATACATTCCATTTCACGTAAGTCTTTTCCATATTTTTATCAAACAAATGAGACAAGAACGATAAAGTTACGCTCTATTCTTTCCTTTCTGAGCGTGTTCTTATGTCTCAGATACGTCAAACTGTGACATTCAGAGACACTGTGAGCGACATTCAGAGAAAGTGCAAAAACACACTACACGATAATATTTAATTTTAGAGAAATTAATCATCCTCACTAGACGCATCATGAACTTGTAATCATCGAACTATCAATATAATGGTTATTATAACATTTGTATTTTGAAATGTGAATTGAACTCGCTTCACATTCTGAAAATATCCTGAATCATATTTCAAAATATTCCCCTTTCTAACACTCATATTGTATCATTCACACATTTTTTAGCACATTTGAGAAAATGTTAATGTATGAACTCGAATAATATTATTACATTCGCTCTTGTCAATTTTAATATCATCAAGTCGAACCTGATCATGTTAACTTTATCTTCTCGTTCATCGTTTAACCATTAGACATTATTCCGTCATCAGTTTTTTCTTTTTTGTTTGTGAAAATACTTATAGAAATATTTTTAGCTTCAATTCCTGTATACAAAAGATTAAACTTGAGAAGTAATATGTTTCCATTATACAAGAAACATGTAAAATATCATCTGCAGAATGCGACTGATTCTATTTTCGATATTTACACTTAGCTTGAATTACTTTTTTATTAGTAAAAATAAGATATTCATTCTCGTATGATTTCATTTTTCTTAACACCATTTCCATCCGAGTTTTGTTAATTAGTTTACTACTAGTAGTTCATGGCACTGTTACTCTATAGATATGTGTGCCGAGCCATAACTGTTATAGCAATTTCCGCAGAAAAGCACTTTTATTCTACCTAGTCTCAACAAATTGCGTAAGAGAATAATGTTGTTTTATCAACATGTAAACTCACCAGTTGAAAGGTGTGTTTTTATTAAGTGCTGTTAAAACAGCATTATTCTCTTACACAATTTGTTGGGAGGACTAAAAATGTATTGACATTTACTTAGGAGAAAAAACCGTTCTCTAGTATTCATTTTATATTTAAAATAGAGACGAAGTTTGACAGAACGAACAGGCATAACGTAATAGCTTTCGTTGTACAATTTCTTTTTCTTTTCTTCTTTTAAGTGTTGACAATGCTATTACACGACACAATGTTATTAAACATAAAAATTTATCTAATACTACTATATGTTTCAAAATACAATGGTCTCGGATATTTTTCGAGTAATTTTTCACAGAAATGAGATAGAGACCTGTGATTTTCAATTTTAAAAACTAGACATCTGACCACATATTTCTATAAGCAAACTCTAATTCCGGAAAAACTTCTGATGCGGGTATTCCTGGGGATCTTTGGAAAACCAGCTTGAGCTTTCCCAAATTCACATAGGAATGTATTGATTTTTTTTCCATGAGCTGGAATCCCGAGGTGTTCTCTTCTGAATGGGAGTAAAGTGAGACAATGATTTTCTGCGGTTCGGGCGATGTTTCGGATTTCCGACGAGTCCGAGGATCGGCATCCGGTGACTCTTCGTAGCCTTAAAGACGGATGGACTATGGATAATCGACCATGCTGAGTCTCATGGCAATATTTCTTTTTAGAATAAGTTTTAAAAATCTACCCAAAAGCTAATTTTACGAAAATTAGGGTTTTTAGGCTGTTTTCATCTAATGTTAAAAAATTCACTATTCACTCAAAAAACATCAGAACAAGCTCAAAATCTCAGGATATGATTAACGTTGTCCGCTAAACGTGATTATAAGATGGAAGAAATCGAAAAGCTTATTTTTGTTAACAGGTTTTCCAGAAATTCTTTAGTAGATTTTCAAAACTTTTTCTAAAAAAAAATATTGCCACGAGACTCAGCATGGTCAATTATCCATCGTCCATCCATCTTTAAGGCTAGTAAGAGTCACAGTAAGAGTATTTCGAAATGCATAGTAGTAGTAGTAGTAAAAATCGAATCTTCTATTTTATACATTAGATTTAAATAAAGAATGACAACTAAATGCAATGCCATGATTGATGATAAACCGTGTGAAAAAGCCGGTGTTTCTCTTTGCTTCGGTTGTCCGAAACGGTTTTGTCTTAGTCATTTTATCGAGCATCGTTATATGTCAGCTGCGCATTTTGATGTTATTGTTAGTGAACACAACAAAATAAGAGAAGAAATAATGCAATGGAATGAGAACCAACTCGTGAATTATTAAAACAAATCGACAAATGGCAAGATGATATGATAAATAATATAAAATCTGCAGCAGACAATGCACGAGAAATGATATGTGACATATTAACTCATAATGAGCAATCATTGAAGATGCGTAATGATCTAATTTGTCAATTGGAATTGATAAAAGATGATTTAAAGTTAAAAATGAAAGAAGAAGGTTATGTTGAACTTGATTTAGATCAATGGACTAAGCAACTTGAACAGTTGAAAAGTGATATTGAAAAAACAGAAAGTGAAATGAAAGGAAAAAGTGTTGAAATTGACATTGATGTTTGTCGTTTACTTAATCCTATGATATCGATTAAAGTAGATGAGGAAACGAAAATAAATTTAGATCAGTTTGAATCAACACCTGATTCAATTCATAGCCTCGGTCTGAGTAATTCTGTTATGGGTGCATCAGATAGTTTATTGTTACTTTTTGGTTTAATCGAGAAGTCGGACGATGGTAAAAAGTACGGGAATGATCAGTTTCAAATTTATCTCACTCATTTGGATAGTGGAATTATAAAATTATTCGACTGGGATAATGATAATAATGGAGAAGTACTAGATATATGTTGGTCATCTGTTTTGAATCAGTTTTTGTTATTGAGTTCAAATAGTATTTTAACATTGAACATTTCAACAGGAAATGTGACTAACATTTATCAGCGTACAACTCATAATAAATTTGTAAGTTTTACGGTATTTGAAGATATTTTATTTGTTGCTAATGGCGAAACTATTTTAGAATTACTTATTACAAATGGAGTATTAATAAAAGATTGGAATATATTTAATAATGATAGTGAAGAAAAGGACAAACTAGAATATACAATTCAGTATATAAGATGTTCTAAAAGTGCTACTCATTTGGATATGATAGTTCATTCCCAAAGAGATTTCGGTGACTGTGATTATCGTTTGGATGTAAGAGATTCATCTACAATGGAAATGGTATATTCTTTTACACTTGAAAATGATGTGAAATATGTTTATAATATTGTGTCAATTTCTAAAGATCAATGGTTTATATTATACAGTCGGGACGAACGTTGCCATTCTGAAGGCGTTGCTTTACCCTCTCTCAATATTTTGAATAATAATGGTAGAACCAAATTTTTGGACGATGGCCATTTTTATAATTTGGCATTAGTTAAAAATCGTCTTGTACAATTGACAACTCATTGGCAAATTCTTATTTATGATCTATAGGAACAATGGCGGCTTTCTTTTATATTTTTAACTACTTCAATGTTCTTATGTTTGATTTATTTGATGTTTTTTTCTTATATAAATAATGTATAACAAATAATAAAATGTCGAAGAATCAGAGTCCACATGAGTTAATATTTCAAATCTAAATGAATAAAAAGTCATTGATAGAGTATCCTTTTTTCTTCAATAACGATAAACATTTTCTTACTTTTTTTTCGTTTATTTTGAAAGATTGTCGTAAGCCGTTTCGAGTAGTTTGTATTTTGATACATTAGCAGTTGTCGAGAATAAGATTCATGATATCAAATTTGTCAACAATAAACAAATTTTTTTGAAATCGGTCTAGTTCAAGAGGTTTTTAGATAATCAACGTTGGTCTAGAATGCTAACAAAGGTCTTTTTATGGTTGAGTATTAAGTAATTGAAACGGTATCATATTAACCAGATCAGTTAAAAGTCATCAAGGTCGAAATTTGGTATACTGCGGCTGAAATTTTGGCCGTGGATACATCACACATTTTTGGTATCGTGAAGTTTTTCTTCTTTTTCAACTATTTCAAAGATTACAAAAATCACTCAACAACCAAATACTGTAATATTGGAAAGAGCAACACACACACATGAGTTCTTCTGAGAAAATCGGAAGTATAAACCATGCGAGATGTGAGAAAAATGCACGCGGCCTTCTGCAAAGAAATTTGTCAAGTTTCAAGTACTTCAGTGTCAATAGTTTTTTCTGGTTTAGGCTCGTTCTGAAAAACAAGTAGGCTGCTGTCGAATATTGTCTGTGAGAGCTTCTCCCCGGATGAAATGAAAAATTTCTGGGATGGTGGGATATGCAACGGAATGGAACCGATAGTTCATGGTATTCGATGGCATGGTCCAATAAAGATTAGATGTTCGCTGTCACGGATACTGAAGGAACGAAAGGACATCTGTGATACCAGCATGCCCTGTAACCTATAGTGATTTTTAGTAGCCTGGTCATTAGATGAAACATAGACAATCGATCACACTAAATCTCTTGGCAATATTTTCTCCTCAAAAAAAATTAAAAATCTACGAAAAATGGATCGTATATAAAATACTCATTTTTTAAAGCAATTTTCACTTAATATTAAAAATTCATAATTTCGTCAAAACGAATCAGACAGAACTGAAACATTCGGAAGATATTTAGTTTGGACTGCTCTACTAACTCTAATTTAACACGAAAACTAGAAAAATGTTAAAGAAAAGAGTTTGGTTTTCAAACCTGATTTCTAGAAAACCCTGAAGCAGAAAATTTCTTTTGATGTGAAAAGAATTTATGTAAAAAGCTATAATGCGTACGGAACGATCACACTTTCTTGAAAAGCAAAAATCCATTAAACTCAGGAAAAATCCATATTTTACTTTAAACTCAATAATCGTACATCCTACAAATTCACATTTACTGGTAAGACACACTTCACTATGAGAAAGATAAAAGTTGTGAAGAAACCAATTGAATTCATTCGGTTGGTCAATAGTTCTATTCTGTACAAAAAATTATTTTTTTAATTTCGTTTCTGTTCGACTATTAGTGCTTTAGCCTCAACTTTTCTGCTACTTCTGCTTCTCAGCCATCCCGACTCTTTGGGTATCTGAATTTCAGGTAGTCTGACTGTTCCACTTTCGTACAAATTTCTAAACTAACAGCTCTAGCGATTTCCATGCAAGAGCAAAATGGGGTAAGTAAATCTGTCTGTAAATGTACACCATCTGTTATGGAGCTAATTTGAATCTTAAACTTTTGTTTACATCTTCGGTATAGGATTTTAATTCAATAGATACTCACCTGTTTGAAAAAAAGTATATTGTACATAGAGGTGTAAGCCGAGCAGTTAGGCGGCGGCGGCGCCTAGTAATTTTTCAATTTTCTAAAAGTTCGGCGACGGCTGATTCGGATCTGTGACCCGGTCGGCGGCGGCGGCTGTAAAAATTTAAATTTTTTTCTGCTCATGGCGGCGGCGGCTCGGACTGTTTAGCCATCCAACGGCGGCGGCTAGAAATTTTAAAAATGATTAATCTTTTCAAAAATAAGCAGTATCTGTTTAATGGGTGATAACATGGTTCGAGAAGGAATTTCTTCTTTTGAATTAACAACTTTATTACAAATTAAAAAATCTTGAAAACCTAAACATAAGTAGACTTAATAGGTAATATTTAATTGCTAAAAACACACACACCTTCATTTTCCACAATTGAAAAAGGAAGTAAATCTCGACAACACATTAATGTTAATTGATGTCCGAGTTGCTGTTTTAATTAGAAGAAATCGGCGGCGACGGCGGCTAAGCCGCGCGGCCTACACCTCTAATTGTACATATGGTATCAGAACAAATGGATGATCTTACATATTTTTATATTCTGTATTTTATAAATGCTTTCAAGAACGGTCACAACTTTTGTTAAACTACACATCGTTACTTTCTTTTTTTGACTCACTACTAAATTCTTATTTAACAAATCTTATTCATATAGGACAATGAAACATATAATAGTATAGCTAAGTGACATTTGCTCTTAATTTTTTCAATAATGACGGTATATTTTTTCTTTTTATCTGTCGCTCTCTTTCTTTCTTAACTAGCCGTTGCATACCCAAGTCCGATTGTTCCCCAACGACTTTGACAAACTGAAATTCTAAACAGATGTGTGAATACTACGAATATTATGATGAGAACCACAGTTCTAGAGATCGAACCGTTGCTGAGATATTCAAGGCTTCATCATTAATGTGTTGGTGATCTAATTCAACAACAAGATCTGTAACTATTTTTACCTGACGCCACGCTTTCAACGAGAAAATGGAACAAAACTTCACATCGAGAAAATTAGAACTATTGCTGGGTATCAGCCAAGTCGACCAATATAATGGCAGAAAAATCAGTTTTATCTACCTTTCAAAATAAAATTTTTTCTTATATTTACATTGTTCTCTCTACGACGTACAGCAAACTGATTTTTTTAAATCTATAAATGATTCGATAACAAATCCAGATTACTCATTAAAAACTGTGTTATTGTTAACCAACACAATTTCTAAAGATAATTATTGTGTTATCTATCGTTTAGTGGTCAAATACATTGATGAAATCTCAAGATTTGCTGTTGATAGATAAATACTACTGTGCGCCTCAATAGGTTTTCCCCTATTAGTATTTTTCACTTTATTTCACTATTTTCTGTTCTTTTTTCAAAACCAAACCCATAGAAAGAAAGAGCAGACTCGACTGCATCTAGGACAATCGTGGATCAGATAGAAATCGAAACGAGAAAATCGCATCAAAACAAAACATGGCATTTTTTTCCACTACAATCTGCAAAATTAGACTCTCATATCCCTAGTTTTTCTCTGCTTGCATGTAAATAGACGTGTGCATACGCAACTTTTATATGCACATTTGACAGCTCATTGTCAGATATTTCTATCCGCTCCATGAAAGGCTATGATTTTGACTTCGTATTCGGTATTGATATAGAAATATCTATATGAAATTTAGTCATAACCTGTCAAGCCAAGAATTGAAGGTCAAAGAAACATTGGACTTGCTCTGTGGCTAGTATTTATTTGTTCTTTTTCTCTCGTCAGTTTTGTTGCCTACTCCTATGTTAAATAATTAATTCTTGAACATAAATAGTCGTGCTATCTATTTATCGAATGGTCTCATACTGTTTCTGTCCACTGTTTCGATGATGGCAAAACACAGTAAACACACCAGTGATTTCAAACACAACGTTTTGCAACAATATCGTCCTGGAATTTACGGATGTGGGTTCAGATCATTACCAAAGCGTTTTAAAATCAAAGGTGCTCATAAATTAATTATGAGCCGGTATGCCAGATGGAACGGCATCGTTGAATCCTTGGAACCAAAATGGACAGATGGTCGACCACGTATCATGACAAAGGATCAAGTAACGGATTACATTTTAAATTTTGTCGATGAGATGAACATGCAATACAAACCAGTGAATTACAGAATGATACAAGAACACGTTGACAACTCATTAAATAAGCAAGTTCCATTGAAAACGATTCAAAGATACAGTAGACAAGAATGTGGTATTAACAGCAAAAGAACTAAGGAGTTAACAACACGTGATAGTAAATATCCCAACTTCATTAGTAGTGGATTTGCTCATGGTCTTTTAATAACATTTTTTAATCTTAGTTGATAATAATTATTGGCATATGTAGTGAACGATTGGATTACGAATACATTAGCTCCAGCAATTAATGCGTTAAATATCGACAATATGTATTTAGTTTGCGACAGAAGTCGAGCCCATCACAAAGAGAGTATGATGAAAGCATTGAAAACCGCGAAATATAAATCGATATTGGATATCTATTTCATGCCAACAGCTTCTGCTAAATACCTATCACCATTAGATAAACCTCTTTGGCATTCCATCAAGGAAGTTATTCGAAGCCATCATCCGCTTACAACAAGTAATCTTCCAACGCTACTCTCAGAGGCTTTTCTTTCGCTATCGAAAAATAAAATCACAAGCGCATTTCGAAAATGTGTTATTACATGTGGAGTCGATGTTTTTTATGATAAACAAGCAGAAGTTTTAATGACTTCTATCGTTTTTTATGATAAACAAGCAGAAGTTTTAATGACTTCTATCGATTCCATTTTCAAGATTACATATACTAAACCAAATTGTTGGTATCCAAACAGGCCATGAGGTAAATTAGTCGAACTTGTTCTTGTCTTCAAACTTCTTTTAAAACAAATTCACATTGTTAACAATGCATTTTGTAATAAGACATTAATGGTTACGTTCATTCATCTCGAATAGCTTCAATTTCTTCGTCAACATTGCATCGGTTAATTCCACTGTAGAAATCTAATGCTAATGTTAGATTTTCATATGCGAAATTTATATTCATCTAATGCTAAATGCATATCAGCTAATTCAGTGTAACTTTCAGCTATAGCTTTCTTTTTAATATTAATGTACGTCTGATCATTATCCGTTGGTTTCAGTTCGTGTTTTTTCAATGTATATTTATGTTTTATTAATTGATATTTTAATACAGAATGATAATCATTTTTCTGTGTAATGTAGATTCGAACTATTTTTTTAGAGATTTCTATAATTGAGTAAGGATGTGGATCTAACTGTTCCAGATAAAATTGTAAAGCGCTTTCATAGAACGTTAAAGCATCATCATATTTTAATAATGTTTCATAAATATCAGCTATTTTTTCTAGAGAGATACCAATTCCAAAAGTATTAGATGAATTACTTTTCATGTGTTGAACACTTGTTTTTAAGTACGATATGACCTTTAAACCATTTTCTTCTTTCTTATCATTGCCAATTTGCATTTTGTTTTCGTATATCTCAGCCAAGCGACAATTTATATTTATTTTTTCGTTTTCTGTAGTTGCTTTCTTGAGTGCAGATTCATAACAGCTGATAGAGTGATTATAGTGTTTGTTAGTCAGCTTTTGACAACAATCACCAATATCCATATGAATTTTACCAATATCAGCGGAATAATCTAATTCATCGTCGTCTTTGTATTCGTCCCAGATTTTTAATGCTTCTTCGTAACTTGATAATGCCACACTATAATTTTCTACTTTCCACTCTTGATAATTTCCTATGCAATGCATTTTAACGGCTAAAATCCACTTTTCTGATGGAAATAAATTAATTAATTCATAAAAAATACTATTTATATCTTGTGGTAGAGCCATCCAGATAAAATGAGTTAATTGGCTAATAGAATTTTTTAAATTTTTTCTTTTACTTTCACAGTCAAATTTTAAATTAAAATTAGATTGTAGTTTTAATTTCACATTCCAAAGCTTTTCATTTTCATCATACAATAAATCATTTTTCTGTACTAAAAATTGTATTCCAATCATCAATAAAACTTCACGTTCATCTAGCATAATGCTTAAATTTGATATGCATCCATACGGACGTGACATCTCTCGCATATCCATTTCAATTTCAAATAAAACGTTTTGAAATTCATCTTCAAGTTTTGACTCTGGATTTAGAAACAATAATGCCACGGAACGATCATCACTAGTTGAAAAGAAACTGTTGTTTACAATCGTTCTATGAGTTAAAAGTCCTTTAAGCTGTTTAATTTCAATGTGTGACATTAGTTGTCCACGGTATAATCTTAATGGATTTTCTGGATTGTCTTTGAGTTTTTCATGTTCTTTTTTCAATTGTCGGTAAATATCTTGTACAATAAATCCGAATAAAAACATGACTTGACTATTATGTTGTCGGAGAGCGTTATTTAGCTGACGATGTAAAAATGTAGGACGTGTATACCACCACAGAGCTTCGTCCGCCTTGTAGTCGCTTTCAAATTGTGCTACCTCGCGAATTTGTATTGTATTTTCCGCATAATAAGTCTTTAATGAACTAATGAGTTTGTAACGACAATCTTCTGCATATGGTAAATAACATAAAAGATCAATGAAGTTTATCCACCAAGACACAGAATCGTCTGTGGTGTTACCCTCTTTCACAACTTTACTAAAGATCGCTACATATTTTTCATGTTGTAAATATTTTTGAACATCTTTTGTTAAGTCATCCAACAAGTGATTCAGTTCGGTGTATACTGCTTTTATCTATAACAAATTAGGAGAAATTGCACGATATTATAGATGTGAGTTCAGAAACAGTTAAAAACATAAAAAGACTAACAATATAGTTTTATCGTATCATGTGGTTTTACACATAAAACTGAGGTTATGAAAAAAGCTAATGTAAATTTAGAAAATCAGAAATATTGAAGATCGCACTTTTGTTTAGATTACCGATAAATAAGGTCTGAAATAGACATGCACCAGTTTCGGTTAACCGAAACCGATCATAACCGAAAATGTTGCACAAGTTCTGAAAAATACGTTTGACACAATATGAAGGAAGCATCTGTTGTTTAATCAACAACTGTTCATCCTGGAAGAAAGATGTACGGTGTACAAAATCAGAAATAAGCCAAATAATAATAATATAAGTGATATTTCTGACTTTTTATCATGAAGGAAGAGTTTCCCGAAATTAAATCTAGCAACAAAAGTATGGCAAATTTAATTTCCTAGATTTTATCTGCTACGCGCACCTTTATACAAATCGATCTTCACGATAGAAATTGATATTTACTGATTTTTATCGTGAAGATCGATTTGTATAAAGGCTCGCCTTGCAGATAAAATCTAGGAAATTAAATTTGCCATACTTTTGTTGCTAGATTTAAGGGGGGGCTTACCTCCCCCCGATCCCCAATTTTTTTCCGGCCATTTTGTAGAGAATTTAAAACTGCATCTACCCTCCAATTTTTTCTGAGTTCGACCGGGTTTTGACGGAGATACAGCCTTCACAATCCATGTGGCCCACATAGACCCCCTAAGGGTATTCACTATAGAAAAAATTTTCAAAGTCAGAATTTAAACCTTATTTGTATATGGTTTTATAGAGCATTCAAAGTTGTATATATCCTAAAATTTTCATAAAGATTGGGTGCATAGTTTTTGAGAAAATGTTCGTTTACCGACTAAGTGGCCTTTCGCTTCTCCAATAGTATTTTTTTAAGCCTTGCACGCGATATCAGACATACTAATAGGTTGCATTCAAAATCCTTTCGGACCAAAAGATGCGCCATAAAATTATGGGTGTAGTGAGTGATTTAGATTTTTTCTTAGACAACATGTCGAAAGAAAAGCGCCCTCATAAAATACATGTGAAAATGGCAATGTATGAAAAATATGCTTTTTTTGTCTAGCGTCTTTTTTAGCGTATTTATCGCTTTTAAAGAAGTAGATCATTTTATACTATATGTCATTGGATAGACCATTTCATAAGCAATAAAATCATATATAAACTCATCAAAAAATACTACACCATCATAATAAAAAAAACCAATTATTTACTGATACTAAAATGTGCATCAATCTATTATTAACGAGGGAACCCCACGAAGTGATTAAACGCTTTTTGCTCGGAATCTAGTGGGTTATAGGTTATCGACCATGCTGATTACGAATACGACCATGCGGCTTCCGCATAGCCCTTCGAAGACCTGGTTTTCTAGAAAACGATTTTTTCAGGAACCTCCACAAAAAATAACCCGAACTGTTCTTAATGAGGCATGATTGTAGCTCGCAAATTTCTGATTAAAATGAGTTAGTAGTTGGCCACAATTTTTGGCCAACTACTCGACTGTGATGAATATTTACCCACACCGAAACTGTTAATTTGTTCCAAGTGCAATCTGCCGGGTCATATTAAAAAGATAAGTTCAAATTCACAGGTAGAAATGTGCAGAAGGTGTGGAAAAGACAGAAATGATGATGAAAATCATAGAATGTGTGAAATAAAATGTCATCATTGCGGTGAAATTCATACATCTATCGATTACATATGTCCAGTCATTCAGAAATATCGTCGAGAATTGGTGCTTGAGTTACAAAGTCGTCCTGATCTTTTACCAGCACAAGCCCAGTTGTTTATTCTCTCTGAATGTCGTGAGCCTGGGCAAAGAACTAGAGTGTTAGAAAATAAAGCAGTTCAACACAAGCAACAATTGAAATTCAATCAACAGCAGCAACGTTCATGCATTAAATTAAATTATTCTAAGCAAAATCAATGGCCTTCATTTCCTTCTTCATTATCTTCACAAGCAACCATAATAAATAACAATCTGAATGAAACAATTAAATCATTAAGTGAAGAACTACGTAATTTGAAAGAAAACTATGCAGCTGTACAACTGAAAATTGAAGTTAAATATAAAAATCATATTAATTCAATCAGTCAAAGTTGGCTAATCATGCAACACCAAATTCAGACTCAAAATGTAATGTTTTCAGCTATGAATGGCGTTATCAACTCAACTCTATTCTCGACTTGTTCATGTGTGACGGAAAGCTTAGCACAAATCGTAAACAAATTAAAAACGGAAACAAATCAAAATGACTACAACCTACTTCTTCTCTACCTTCAACAACATCTTCTCATTAACGAACAAAAAAACACCTACGTGTCCCATCAAATGGATTTAAATCAACTGATAAATAAACAACGGGCTGCACTAGACATTGCTTTGAATTCAATTATACAAAAACCGAATGGACAGTGAAGATTTTAAATATTCTGAGCCGATTGTAAATTTTAATTTAATCGAACATTTTGATGGAACTGTAAGTGAAAAGAATGAACTTTTTTCTATTTTTTGTGAGTGGAACTCTCGTTTCTCAGTGAGTGAGCTTGGTAAACAATGGAGAAAAGAAAGACCAAAGAGTGTAGTTGAGAATGCATTTTTTCTCCTTTTTAATTGTGAGGGATTAAGTACCCATTTTTGTGATCTAGATATTCTTCTCTCTTCACATCTTCCTCAGATTGTAATTCTCACGAGTGTAGGTAAACAAATCCGCGGACTGCGCCTTACCCCAAGTTATTATTGGGAGAGTAGTCCTGGTGACAACAGTTTCGGAGGAGTAGCTATTCTTCTACACCATACTATTAAAAGTAAAGTGGTTGAGAAGGCTGAAAATTTTTTAATGCTAGAAATTCAGACGACTAATGATAAGACTTTAGTGGGTGCACTGTATGTTCCTCCCAGAAGTAGACCACCTTTTTATCTCTTTGAAAAGTATTTGGATAAAAATTTTATCATTTTTGGAGACTACAACGCTAAACACGCTCAGTGGTGCTGCTCTACCAATAATACAAGTGGCAATCAATTAAAGGAATGGATAGAGCGTACCGGATATGATTTAGTTCACTCTACTACTCCTGCTTCGAAGAAATCCGAATCAGTAATTGTGTTTGCCATTACGCAGGATTCTTCAGGATGGAGCATCGAAGTGTTGAACGAAGGTGCGTCAGACCACTATCCAGTACTATTTTCATCACCTTTTTGTTTAACAGAAAATTCTTACTTTCGAAAAACAGACTGAAAAGTTTTTTCCTTCTTTCTAAAATCTGTTTATGAGTATTGGAATTCCATTGTTTATAACATCGATTATAACTCGTTTTTTACCTTATTCTCTGATTTTCTTTCATTACTTTGGGATAGATGCAGCGTTTACGAGTTAACGAAAAAATTTCGACCGCCGTGGCCTCGCTATCTTCTTTCGCTCGCAAGAAATGTAAACAAATTGAAAAGAAAATATCGCAAAACTTTTTTTCTTAAACATTACGAGGAATATAAATATTTGAATGATGTGTATAAAACAGAAAAAAGTAAATTTGAAGAAGCACGGAGAGATAAAAAGTTAGAATTTACGAAAGCAGGAAATAATATTTGGAAGGTTGTAAACAACACTTTTAAAAAATATTCTCCATCTTTCCGTGGTCTGAGAAGTACAACGAGAATTGAAAAAGATAGCGATAATATTGTGAATGTTTTGGCAGATTTTTATGAAAATCACTTTTCATCACCTACGCCGGATTTAAGCAATTTTTTCAAAATCCTTAGAAGAGTACACAGTGTGGAACAACGTGGACATTAGGTGAAACAACGAAAGTAATATTTTTCGAGATTCGAATAGCAGGTTATATATTTCAGCATATGCTCTATCACTTTGCCATTGGACGTTTTTTTCTAAAGTCCATTCTTCACAGGAAAATCGCTGAGGTAAAATTTGGCTGAAAACACTGGTTCTGTTGGAAAACTGGATTACATGCCAAATCAAGGTAAGTCTTTAGAAAAGCAAATACATATTCGGAATCTGTGTCCAGCCCTCTATCGATTGCTAAAAAATCTTTTTATTTTCAAAGCCGGAGAAAAACAGTTTTACATTTTTCTAGCGAGTTTTCCATAGAGGTATGTTCAGTAAAATGCGTGCCCCAGTTAGGGTTTCTGATCGCGGTTTACCGCAACCGCAAAATCGCGGTATTTTGACGAAAATCAAAAACCGCAAACCGCTAAAGGAAAACCGCAGTATTTGCGGTTTTTATAAAATTTATCTAAAAAATAAATTTTTACCTATTTTTACATTATTAATAGGTATAAGAAAAATAAAAATCACGCGAGAGAAAAGTATTAACAAATTGTTAGGAAGTAGTTAACCTAATCTC